GACTATAGACTAGACTATAGACTAGACTATAGACTAGACTATAGACTAGACTATAGACTAGACTATAGACTAGACTATAGACTAGACTATAGACTAGACTATAGACTAGACTATAGACTAGACTATAGACTAGACTATAGACTAGACTATAGACTAGACTATAGACTAGACTATAGACTAGACTATAGACTAGACTATAGACTAGACTATAGACTAGACTATAGACTAGACTATAGACTAGACTATAGACTAGACTATAGACTAGACTATAGACTAGACAATAGACTAAACTAAATACTAGATTATACTATAGACTAAATTAAAGACTAGACTATAGACTAAACTGTAGACTAGACTAGTTTTGCCTAGTTTGTATTTATTTCTTTCTGTGTATTTCATAGTTTTCATTAAAATTATAATATTGAAAAATAATAATCGCGACATTTATTATCGGTTAAATGACACTAATAGTTAAATGAACTTAAATTTTTTCTAGTCTTCTCAAAAAAACACATTTAATGCAAACTTTGTATTATAATTATACTTAACCTTATCGCATTTTTCCGATTAAATAAAGCCCCAAAACTTACCCTCCCTCCCCCCTATCAAATTGAATTCCTCCCTTTTTTCCACTTTATTAAAACCCTTTTTTTTTTGAATACGTTAATTAAGCAGAAACAAATATATTTAAGAAAAATAATTAAAAAATATAAAGAAAATAATTATTATCAACACAACAACAATTTCACACGTGTAATTATGGCAATGAACAATTAAATTAAAAGCAAAAAATATAAATTATATTTTGTTAAATAATTGTGTGAGGAAGTGGTAGACAGTAATGTAATTCTGGTTTAAACTTGGAAGCTGTAACGAATTACCATACAGTCCCTGAACAGATGAAAAAAAAAACACAACAAAACTGTTGCAAATCAATATGTGTATTTATTAAAGTTTCTTTGACATTTGTCACAAGGTCAAAGGCTAATTATTTCATTAGTAATGTATTGTAATGTGTTATTGCTTTCAAATTAAAATCTCATTTTGTTGCAAATACAAAAGGATTTTGCATGGTGTTTAAAACAGCGTGTTAAATTTTATCATAATTATCCTATTCACAGCAAGCGTTGTAACTTTTAGTTTAAAAACTACTAATTTTATCATACAACAATACAACGATACGTCATAGTTCAAATGTAGTTCAAATGCATTCTGCTAGAGAGGTCTTAGAAAACACACTGTGAACCTAATGATATGGAGCTACAAGTTCCCTAAATGGGTTATTAAAAGAGAAATGATTACTTTGGAAACTTTAATATCAGAAGATTGCTTATCTTCCCAGATATTCAAATACAGAAATGAAAACAATTGCTTTGGAAACTCAAATTGGATACAGCCTTAGTTACTCAAACATTGATTTCCCCAAAAATTCCCTCTAATTTTGAAGGTGAAGTATAGAAAACGTGATAATTTTCTTGAAATAATCTATAGATGGAACCTCAGGAGCTATAAACCGTGATCTGAAGATTGAAGTATAGAGAGTGAAGAATCGAAAATAGAATGAACGATTATTGTAACCGATTTGTTCTCTCGTGAAAAGAATTCTAAATAACACCGACAGCCATATTCCACCTCCATGTGATAAAACTGACGATGCTAATGAAAAGTCAAATATCCTTTCACAAATGTTTGAATGTTATAACCAGTACCAGCCCATTGTGTTGCCTATACTAATCTAGGATATTCTTCAGAAGACGGACACGGAAATGTTCTTCCTCACTCGCATGTACTCAGAGGAATCTAATATAAATATTCAACCATTACCCAACAAGGGACCACTTCAAACCCAAACAACTCTCGAAAGTTATAAAAAGTATTTATAAAAACAACTGTTGTAATCTTCTTGATACTTGATGACCTAATGTCAGTTATTGGAGACAAACGAACTTCTTAATGGCCTGCGCACTGATTGTACCCCTTTTTACCTAATAGCACTTCTTTCTGGGCAATTGTCTTGCCATCTTCGTCTTGTTATCAAGGAATCTAATAAACCTTTAATTTTTAGCCTTCGCACTAATCTTTCGACCTAATGGCACTTCTTTCAATTGTAACAACACTCGAAAGTTAAGAAGAGCATGCAAAACTACCATTATTGTAGACAAACTTCTTGACATTAGACAATAGGGCCTTCGCACTGATCGTTCCACTTTCGATTAAATATCACTTTTCTCTGAGCGATTGACTCGCATTATTGTTAAAGAATCAAATCCGTACAAGAGTCAAAAGTTATGAACTTCTTGATATTAGACAATACGGGCTACGCACTGATCGTTCCACTTTGAATATAATAGCACTTCTATCTGAGCAGTTGCCTTGCATTCGCGAACAACACGCGAAAGTTATGGAGAGCATGCACTTGATATTAGACAATGGGGCCTTCGAACTGATCGTTCCACTTTCGATCAAATATCACTTCTCTCTGGCTCACATAACAGTTGTAGAATACTCGAAAATTATGGAGACCTCGAAAAACTACCACTATTGGAGACAAAACATCTTGATATAAGACAATATGGCCTTAGCACTGATTGTTCCACTTTCAACCTAATAGCATTTCTCGGTGAGCAATTGGCTCGGATTACTGTTGAAGAGTCCACACTGAACAACACTCGGAAGTTATCGAGAGCAAGCAAAACTACCTCTTTTGGAGACAAAACTCTTGATATTAGACAATATGTCCAACGTACTGATCGTTCCACTTGGAATATAATAGCACTTCTCTTTGAGCAAATGCCTTGCATTATTGTTAAAGGGACAACTACGAACAATACTCGAAAGTTAAGGAGAACATGCACTTCTTGATATTAGACAATGAGGGCTTCGCACTGATCGTTTCACTTTCGATCAAATATCACTTCTCTCTAAGCAGTGGTGTCGATCATTTTACTGGGTGGATAAATGTAGAGTAATGGATGGAGTAATTGGAGTATAGATAAATTGATTATTACCTTCCTGTTTTTAAAATATAAAAGTTTTCGCAATTGCTTGGGAATTTGAGGGATCTAAAGTAATTTTATTAAGAAAGCAATTGATCAAAATTTTTTAATTAAGCTGCTGCAATTTGGACATTATTTGTGAGTTTATCCAAAGTTTATCCATATCAAATCAAAACTAGATCTGGCCATAAACTATAAGACGTAGTCGATTGTTTTAATACAGATGGTTTTCGAATATAACTGAGGATCCCATTTTAGTATCAGACTGCTAAAAATGCTTTCCAGATCTTACTGAGAGAGGATCACATTTCAGTATAGATCTTCTTGCAATTTCTTGGGAAGTGGAAACACAGAATGTCTAAATGAAATAAGATCAATTTGAAGATCAGTTAGAAATGATCATTGCAGGTTTAAAGGAGAATCTTTATTTTATAATAAATTTTAAATTACAAAAATCCTAAAATATATTATTACTTCCCAGAAATGATGATTTGTAGAATTTAAATACTTTTCTCGTATGCAGTTGCAATTAAGCTTAAACATACAGTTAAGGTTTTTATAAATTTCAGGTCTATGGGGAATTTTTGTTCAGGTTATTGTGCAAATGTTGCAAATTGTTAATATTTAGTTGAAAACATGCTATTATGCCAGCACGATTAAGTAAATTTAGTTTCAAAATATAAAATATGAAACGAAATGTTTTTCAAAGCTTTTATGGGAGTGTTTGAAATTAAAATAGTTTATTACACTAAAGTAATTCTGTTATAATTAGCTTTTTTTTCAAATCCTTTTAAAAACCTGATTAAAAGTTTAATATATGCTGCGTTTACATTAATAAACTTGACCTTTTAATAGTATATATGTTCACTAATACAAAAAATTGCATTTTCAAAATGGTCGACCCAACTATAAAAACCATTAACAAAAGCATTGATGCGTTTAACAGAAAAAAATCATATTATTGTTTAAATAAAAAAATTTCATAATTTTTGTATTAAATACCCAAGGCACAAAACACATTTGTATTAAATTACGATTACACGTGAGAATTATAACAATATAATGCCATAAATATTGAGTAAATATTTATTTATAAACAACAACAGCAACTAAATATGTTAAAACGATAGTATTTTTATAATAAAACAGGAATTTTGTAATTGTAAAACATAAAGAATACGACCCACAAACACCAAAATATAACTGATTCACGGAAATTTTGTTTTGATCACTTAAACAAATCTCAGAACAAGATTGACTTACCTTAAAAACTTTTATAAATACTAAATATAAAGGTACTTTTTTTAAAAATTTTTCACAAATTAAAATACAGATGCGTTAACCGAAATAGTAACGTTTAACGTGATAGACTACCAAATAACAACTTAAAAACATGAATCAAAAACCTCTGATACAAATTCTACTCAATTTCATAAAAAAAAAAAATAATTAACCTGTAGATGAAATAACAGCAAAAGATAAAAAAACTTACATGAATGAACTAAAAAAAATCACAATACACAATTAAAGCTTGGTTATTGGGTAGGGGAAAAAGTCGTTTCTTAAAATTAGTATTATGATTTTGAAGAGAAAGTACAAAGTAGACAAATTCTATATAATGGTTTTGAATGCTTAAGATCCATAATCCCTTAATGACAAAATAACCCCCTTAATCCCAGACCTGTATGGCATTCACCCGAAATTGAACACCAAAGAAATTGTGGCATAAACTGGTTTCTAATAGAGAAATAATTTCAATAGGTTGTGGTCCCGAATAGACTTCACCTTCTTTATTTTTACAAAATTTATTATTAAGGACCTCAGGACTCTTATATCAAAATTTCTTCTAACAGGTCCTAAAGAAATGATTTTAAAATCTAAAGTACTTCCTATTACAGCGATTCTAAAGCTATACATAATGAAATAAACTCTATTATAGTTCTTCTTAAAAGATCTTTCGCTTTAGAAAACTCACAAAATTTTGTTTTTTAATTTCCAACTTACCAAATGTTCCCCCAATATCTGTAAGCGTGGAAGAGCTAGAAAGAGAAAAGAAAATAAAGTTTAAAAAAATGTGAATTAAATTTAGAACTAAAATTTAGATTATATACTAACAAATATTAAATCTATGGTTATCAGCATCCTAATCCATGTTTTCCTTCTCCGACAAGGAAAGAAAAAAAGGTAATCGATCAATATTGATCATTACGAACCCCGTATAATGCTATTTCTTTCTACGATACACTCTGAGGCAATGAGCAAGAGTCCCACTTTAAAGCAGTTGGTCAAACATGATCACACCAAATTGAAACTACATCGGATCAACAACCATGTTTAGTCAATGCAGATTCTCCAATAAGTGAAGTTTTTTTAACACGATTACCTCCAATTCTTCAATCAGTTTTATTTAGTGAATGATTAGGAAACAAGACATAAACATATTATAGTATGACCATATCAGATATAGGGAAGTGAGGAGATCAACCATAACAACATTGCTGACCACAACCGTAATCGAATTGCTACCAATAATTTGAAACTTCCTACGTGACAGTGACATTAACCTATAGTAGATCCTTGGTTATAGGTAAGACCAATTCTAACTTAGGCGCTAATCTGGAGTACTACAAGAAGTTTAGTGTATATGTTATTTTGGTAAAAGTGGGATCATGAGCAAAGCATTTAAGATTTGCGATGGCAATTACAACTGAGCGACTCTAATCTTTTGAAGAATGGAACAATGGAGGTTTCAGGACGTGTCCGAAATATATACTCAACATCTTAGACGACTATACACAGATATCTGAAGTATCCGATTGCCTAACAGAGAAAGAAAATTTCGGATATTAAAAAAAGAACATGTTTAAACTGGGGTATATACTTATACGTACTCGTCTAAACTGCGAGAGCGAAAGTGCCTCTAAGATATGAGACGACGACTACAGTCATCATTACAATGTTTAATAGACATCTTGTTTCGTATAACTTATAGAAAATTTAATAACTTTAATCCCCGTTAGAAGATCATGTTTAAGCCGAACATTAGAGAAAGCACCTGTGTGAATCTGTTGTTACACGGATAGCTCTAAATTCGAAGACAGAAGCGGTCTAAAGATCTATAATGAAAACACAAATACCAAGATCTCATATTGTCCTTCGAGCACAATATTATTTTCCAGTCCAAGTCCACGCCATAAGGTAATGTGCAAAATATATGGAAATAGACAGATGTGAACATATTTTCAGATATATATAGGGTAATTAGGACGATATCGGCCGATTAGGATAAGTAAAATCTCGTATTAGACATCATATGTAACCCATCATATACTAGAGACAACACTAGCCCTAAATTAAGATATATTGATCCCAGATAGAAGATTATTAGTGCATGTACAAGTGGAAAACTGTTGTTACACGGATTGTTCTAAACTGAAAGACAGAAAAGACCAGGAAATGCATATTTCCATTTTCCCAATCACTATAACTTCCATTACTAAGGTCTGCATCATTTGTAAACCAGACCATTAGGAGATTGTTACATTTGCAGTAATGAAAAGGTAATTTGAAGAAGTCACTTGTAGTAAAAGAGCGGAGCGAATAGATCAATAAAGATGCAGTCTTATGAGTCTCAAATTCATAGCCAGCTTTTGTTCCGTTTTCCCAATAACAAGCAAAATGGATTGTATTGAATATGGGCGGGCAAATGAGAGCATATTTTCGCATACCGAGAAGGCAATTAGGACGATAACGGAAGTTGAAGAAAGTAAAATATTCATAATCGACTTCTCTTCTATTGCTAAGCTCTGCATCATTTGTACCCAACCCACACGAAGATAGATGTACTTGCCTTTTTTCAATTTACTTTCTCAAGTAGCCTTAAACGAGAGGAGGACGAGAAAATCCTCAAGATGGGTTATACTCTTTACTGTGAGCACAACTATACTAATCATATGAATCTGACGAATGTAAAGTTATCTCTGTGAGGATTTCTCCTGATTTAGATCAAAATACCTTGGGAATGTTGGTTTGCTACTCCATTGCAAAACCGCATAATCTTCATGTTATTTTGGACAATAGTGTTGAACAAACTCAACGAAAGAAAGAACTTATAAGTCCTAAATAAACTTGGGGTAAAGAAGCAGTAATAGTCCCGCAAAGTACCAATGTATTAACTTTAACTATGAACATTCGCAAGATGAATAATACACTTGACAATGGACATAATCTTTCGGATGTAGTTGTACATGCTATAAATAGAAGGGAACTTGAGGAAGACATTTGGAATGAAATAGCGTTAGATAGGTCTTGCGTCCACAACAAGTAACAACTGTACCAAGTGCACAACTATATCTATGAACAGAATCTAGCGAATGTATAGCGTTATTTGGGAAGATTTCACCGGATTTTGATTCAAATACCTTGGGAATGTATGTAGTTGCTACTACGCCGAAACATTTTATCGTTTTGAACTTTAATGTTGAACAAATTTTGAAAGTTTGAGAGGGAACACTAGACTTTAAGCATAAACTTTGAACTAAAGTCTACTTATCCCACGATCTCAATCATTGCTGGTGATCTAAACGAAAGCAAAAACGTAAAATATCTAAAGTCTGCCAAACGAAAGTAGTGTTTACAAGAACTAAACCTTTTTCCCTTAACCAATATAATTAAAAGCTTTTTCTTAAGTTTGTTGCATACAGTAACTAAGCTTTTGAAAGGTTTGACTGTTTTATTGTTTTTTTTTTCGTTATTAAAAAACTAAGCTTAAACCAGAAAAAGTTTTGTTTAGGTTTTTTTTTGTGACTTTAAAATATTCAAACACGATTTAAGTTTTGTTTTTTTTTTTCAGTTTTTGTTGTACAAAAACAATAAATTCATATATTTTGTTTGATTTTAGAAAATTTACCAAAGTTATTGCAAAACCATTAGATAATTAACATTGTGGTATTTAGCTGTTGCGGCCAATATTGCTGTTGTTGTTATCGATGCATATGAATGGTTCCGCCTCAATTGTGTTTGTGAGAGTGTTTAACAAACAAAAACCCTTGGAACTACTGACATTTGAAATGTACTATTTGTACGAAGGGGAATAAATACTGACACATTATTATAAAGTTACCAATTACAACATTTCAGGGGTATTCCAAAATTTAACAGTTAGTTAGTTAACAATGATTTATGGGTACGAGGTTGGTTTAAAAAGTATTTTTAAAAGTTTTTTTTTTATTATAAAGTGTGAGCTATCACCTAAAAAACAATGTCTATTGGTGAGGGTCTGAAGCCTAAATGTTGGCTTATTTTTACAACCATTATTCTCCCAATTGTTAGTCGAATAACTTCTTATATTTAAAAATTTTGATATAAGTTCCTCAACCATAACTTTCTAACATTGCTTGTAAATATGTTTAAATCTAAGATGTTAAACCTTTTGATTTTAATCAAAAAATTGTCGGTCCAACCTCGGGGTTGCCAAAAATATTTAACCAAACAAAATAAAAACCTGTGGATCAATAACAAACCGGTATATTTTTAAATAAGTGTATAAGAGAGGAATATTTAATTTGATTCAAATATTAAACAACTTGTTAAAACAATTTGTTAAAATATTTCTTTGTTTTTATTATTTAACTTTAATTTAAAGCGATATTACTGGTGTTTTTTTTACCTTTTTGGCATATTTTATAGTCAAAACAAATAATTGTTTGAATTTTAATTAATTATTTTTCAGTATTGTACAACAAAAACTGATCTTGTCTAATAGATTGTTAAGTAATTATTGAATATTTCTCTCTGTTCATTGCTTTTTTTAACTCTCTGGAATTCGTATATCAGACTTTGCTCTTAGATGACAAACATTTAATGATAATTACATTTATTTATTCATAATTACAATTAACTTAAAACTTGTTTAGAAAAGTAATGACACTTTTTTAATAAATTATTTGCGTTATTATAGATATGACTGTAGTTTACTAGATTTTTGAATAACTTAATACACGAACTTTGAATGAAAAATTGTACTTTACATCAGGGCCCAAATTATGGCATACGATATCGATCGAAATCTCCATTTAGATTCTATTGAGATTTCGATCGATATCGTATGTCATAATTTGGGCCCTGTATAAATAGAATAGAAATATTGCTCATAGATTCCGAAAGGAAGGTATTCTTTAAAACTAGATTATGTTCAGTTTAAAAAGTTGTAGAACTTCACTCTCAGCTTTCCATCACAGTCTGTAAAACAGTCGGGAATAAGTGATCTTATCTCATCCCTAAAAACTACATAAACTAAAATGTTATTCGGAATTCAGGGAGCAAATTACGCCATACAATATCGATCGAAATCTCAATAGAATCTAAATGAAGATTTCAATCGATATCGTATGCCATAATTTGGGCCAAGATTTGAGTTGAAGAACAGCTTGCGAGTCATTGTATTTATTTCCGTTATCTTTTGTTGCGATTTTCCCTGCTTTACATCACACTCACGTTGGTGCGATGTATTACTTCGTACAACTCTTTCAAGATATTAGTTGTTTCTCGTGGTTCCAAATTCCTATTTGAAGTTATAGTTGGATTAAAGGTCTCTCTTTCTGAACCACTCATTGAAATTTGAGTGTTTGAAACACAGTAAAAAGTCTAGGATGTTTGCTTACTTTATGACTTCCTACTTCTGGAAGGGAATTTTCTAGAATATTTTGAAACATGAGTCAATCTGACACAGTTTGCGCAATCGTTACAATAGTTTAGAGGATCACTGTTCATTTGCCGTACCTAAATATAATTAAACAATTGTCCTTTGCCAAACCTATTACATCCCGTTTTTATGTGTCTTGTGTCTCTCTAAGAGATACTAAACTTCTTCCACTCCAATATCTTTCTCCATGTGAAAAATCACCTATTTTTTATCCATCAATTGCAAAGTGTAATAAATGGTGATAGGACGGCTCTAGGTGTTACTCATTCTTAGTACAGACCCAAACTATCGATGCCCTCATGCGTCATCATTGATCCCTATTCAACTGCAAGAAGA